AATGGTGGTGACATAATCTAATAGTAGTGGTATGATCTAATATCACGATCTAGAAGTGGTGTCATAACCTGATGTTATAATCTAATGTGATGACATAATCTATAAGTGGTTTCATAACCTATAGTTTGGTTATCTTTACGGCTTTCTAATTATTATTTTATTTAATTCCTGCTATATAGTATTATGGTAGTCAGTGATGTCATAATCTATTAATATGGTTATTATTTAATCTAACGGTATTACTATAATCTGATGAAATGTATTTTCCCGCTTATCTATGGCCTTTCTTTTATCAAGGAACTATCCATATGTTTACATTACTCTGTATTTCTTTTATTCCTAAAGAACTATCTATTTGATTACCTGCTTTTAGGCCTGTTTGGTGGCCTGTTAAGATATCGAGGATGCTTCTTTTTTCACCTATTTGTTACCTTTTATAATACTGAAATGATGTAAAAAAAAAAGGCGATAGGTAGCGTAATAAATTTGCGATTAATTTTGGCCGACTCTATAGTATAACTTTGGCTGATCTTTTGGCATGTGATTTTAGGTTTCAGCTTGGCATCATGATGGTGACTTGATAGTATTCTGGAACTACTGTGAAGCTGTCATAGAACTGTCATAGAACTGGCAGGGAGCTAGAGAGTTTCTATTAGTTCGCCAGTTATATGCCAGCTTGGGTGATGAATTATTATATCTAAAATTCTAGCCAAAATTGTGGAATAGTGTTGGCTGAAATTAAGTAAATTAATACTGCATCTTATTATGCTATAGTCATATGATACTGTCCTAGTGCCGGAATACCCTCACATAGTTGCTTCCCTCTCAATTGCTATTTCTTGATTGCCAGATGAGTCATGAAGTGTTGAATTTGCAATCCATCTATTTGCTAAAGATGTGTTGCAATCTATTCACTCACTTTTTGATTGCCAGTGAGGCAGATGCAAAGTGTTAGTATTGTGCTATTCTTGCAATCCTGCCTGTTTGATTGCTGAGAATGCTGAGAATGAGACACGAAGTGCTGAATTGGTTCAGAATTTACATCTTTCATACATTTTTTTCGTGAATTCTTCTGAGTCTTTCCACCTTCCTGATTTCTTTCCTGCTTATTATTGGTAACCCAGATGCGAAATTTTTTTTTTCTTTCCTATATATAATTCTGCTTATCTGGGTTACCAAATTTATATCTTAGTTTTCGCCTGAGCCTTTCTAGAATTTCTTTTTGTATAGTTGCTATTTTTGGGTATCCCTATGTATGATTACTTTGGATTATTATTGTATCGATTACTTTTGGGTACTACCACTAACCCAGTGTTTTGCCAGCAAGCGTATTCGCTCAAAATTATAATTTTGAAGATTTGGTATTTTCTATATAATTTTATATTAACTTCCCATATACCTATCATACTACTTGCACAAAAAAAATTCGAATCTAATCTTGAAGAAATAAATGAAGCAATAAGGCTCTTTTCAGGAGAAATATTTTTTCGAATTGAACTTTTTTATGCGTAATATAATCTAATGGTTTAGTATAATCTAATAGTTGGTCTATAATCTCTATTTACATTATCATGTCTGCAATTATAACAAAGTACGTTACATATCGCAAACTCAGTAAAGATATGAGTAATGAAAAACTTAGCCAACACACCTCAGAATTACTCAAACTCTTGATAGATGGAACGAAAAGAAATAAGGATCATCGGCATCTTAAAAATAGATAGTTTTAGCAAAGAGCAGATATCCATACTAGTCCCCTCTCAAAGAACTGGTCTAGCTAAAATACAAGTAACTTTTCAAGAAGAGGAGTCAGAAGCAGAAGTAAATATATGCCAAGTATCTGATATTATTCTAGAAGGAGAGACTATCAAAGAAATGGCTCAGCATATTATACAAAATAATCTTAGCAAAAAAGAAGTGGAAGCAATACGTAGAGCCTTAATCGAAACAGCTACTGATGCTTTTGTTAGTTCATCACGTATATCTAGGGCTTGAAGAGAATTGTGAAATCTCAATATTCCAGAAGAAATAACCTCTGCCATATTTGACCGAGAAATAACTTGTGTATCTAACAAAATTCAAAAGACATGAAGTGATCAATGTGAAAATGAAGGGATCGATTTTCAGACCACTTTTCATTAGAATCAATTAAGGAGAGGCTAGATTTATATGATGTGTCTAATATACCCAATAAACAGGCCCTAGCTGATGTGATGATCATATTATGCATTCGTCCTTCTGAAATTAAAAACTTACGCATATCTAATGGAGGTGTAACTGGTTATGCAAAAAATCAGGGTCAATAAGATATTCCTCGAGTCTTTGGATCGCTGGAAACGAACGAAGAACAGACAAGAAAATTGCTTACATAGATTCAGAAAGCAATATCTTCTAGAAAGTTAGGAGACCCAGGAAGTCCTAAAGTTAAATTCTTAAATAAATTTCTGAAAGAGGATGAATGTCTTCCTAAAACAGGTAAGTCACTTCTTTCTAGAAATTTGTGCAATTTAGGATGTGCATTTGTATACGAAGTGTATAGAGCAAAAAATCCATCAAAAGTTTTGACCATTGCTAGTCAAGCATTAAGGCATAATCCTGATAACAATGTGTCTCCAACTAAGAAGTATACTATAGTGAATATGCGAGCTCGTAGAATGCCTTACAATCAAGCAAAACCATTCATAATCTCTGCTGAAAACTAATCACATACAGTATATGGATTAGAGGATCAGAATATCATTTATTAATTTATTTTTTCGCTCAAGGTAAGATATAGCGTATATAATATATCACAAAAATGTTAACTGATCAAAAGCATTCATCTAATAGTACAGATATCAAGCAGAAAGTTATTAGACGTACAAAGAAAATAGCCAAATTACTTAGACCTGAACAAGATACAAATATATATATTACGCTTTTCATTGAAAATAGGATACTAAAGAAACAATTGGATGATTATCATTCCCAACCTAACACTTTAGAAAAAAGGGTAAAAAGATTGGAGAAAGATGTGAGATCCTTAAAAGACGAATTAAAAGTTCTAGACGAGTGTGTGGATAGGAAGACTGTGGTCGACTTAATACAAGAAATAGCTTTCTCGCCAAAGATCAAAAAATTTAAGGGTTCCTCCTATTCATCTGAGTCTTCTGGAGATTCTGATTCAGTTGAGATAAATCAGGTAAGAGATAAAAAGACCGTTCCTCATAAGCATCAAAGAAAAGTACGACGAAGAAAGGTTAAACGGTTTGTAGTGATGAATTAGCCAATCAGACTGAGTAATAATATACACTATCATTCTAGAACACCAGATTTGCCAGGTTCTGGTTTAAGCTTAAAAGGTCTTTAGTTCCGAGAAAGTGGTGCAACTTTGAATATATGCGATTCAAAACTATTATTAGACGATAATTTTGTGATTCCATTCAAAGAAATAGACTATATTTCGACATTGTCTGATAGTCAGATCCAAGCTATGACTGATTTTTCCAACCAATAGTCCAGAGCAGTGATCATTAGCTCAGAAGATTTTTCTTATTGAAAGATATTCTAACCATATAAAAATGCATACAGTTAATTTACTAGAACAACTTCCATCAAAACTAATACCATTCATTCTAAAGTATCTTTCAGAATGGGACCTAAAAAATTCTTGCAGTATAAATGATATATGGGAAATAGTGGCGAATCTTGAATGGTCCAAAAGAATGAATTTTTTATTTAGGAGAATAGTTCAAGGCAATTATACAGTAAAGGAATATTATTCGAAACTGAAAGAGTGTAATTTAAGCAAGAAATATCCTGAAGAACTTCTTAAAAATATATTCTTCAGAGAATTATCATCTGACAATACATTTAAAGTTCTTATAGATGGTTTACAGAATCTTGCGTTAGATAAGATAGTGGAAAAGCTTAGTCTGAAAAGTAATTTACCAGCTTGGCTAATTTATTTTTTCGCTGATTAAAGATAAAATATAAAATACAAATCTATTATGGAAATGGATAGTAGCCTTAAAGCAAGAGATACACTTGATTGGCTGGATCGAATAGCCCCTTTAACTTCACCAGCGTTAAAATCTGAAAAGGCTAAAGATAGCCCAGTACCGGTCCAAGATAACCAATTACTAAATGAATTTTTTGAGGCATTTAAGGAATATAAAGCATATACTTCATTATCAGGTCTGGACTTACGTAAAGCAGAGATGAAAAAAGGTTTTTTCAGAGATCTCAATCAAGAGACAAAGATCCAGTTTGCCCATATGGAACCTTCAGATTCTTTAGAAAGGTTATGTAAAATTTTAGTTAAATTGGATGTTTCACTTTATCTGAAATTGCAAATACTGATCAGATAATTTATTTTTTCATTTGAAGATACAACATATAATACAGACTATTTATGGTGCAATCAAGAATTTTTATTATACCAAAATTATTAGGACAGTTTTTACATTTCTTAGCAATAAATAAATCTCTCTATCCCACTCTATATGTTCCCGATTGTGGTACAGATGCGGAGTCCTTATCCTATAAAAGCGTATTGAGCTAAAGGGAAAAGACTTATATCCTAGGCAATCTCTTTCAAATGATTATAATTACTGTGCAAAGGATCGTCCTCGATTTAATAAATTCATAAGGATAGAACGTACAAAGGATCTCTTACGATTGAAAAAATTCATAAAGCTAGTACGTAGGAAGCAAATACCAGTTTATTGCTCAAATGTAACTCATCTCGAAATATCATACTACCATTCACTTTCAGATAAAAAAATCATAAGAATTGTACATTCATGTCTAAATATAATCCATTTGAGTTTCATAAATAGCATAGGATTTAGTAATAGAGCATTAGAACTGATAGCGGGTTCATACTCAAATCTGAAGTATCTCAATCTATGCGATGATTGGTTAGGTGGCTTTAGGGGCTTTCGTGCTTGAGAGGTGAATGATGAAGGTCTAACTGCAATTGCAGATTCATGTCATAAATTAGAATATCTAAATATCGCCTATCGCACAGAGATTACTGAACATTCAATTTGTGGTATTATTCGTTCCTCTTCAAAGCTTCGACATCTTGATATTTCCTTTTGTAAAATTACCGATAAAACTATCGAAGAGATTGCTAGCAAATATTTTAATTTAAAATATCTTAATCTGGAAGGGTGTTATAAAATTAGCAAAGAGGCTATGGATCAGCTAAATCTAAATATCCATGTTGAGAATTACCGAGATCCGAATGATATTTAAGCTGAGATAGAGTGAGTAGTAGAGATATTAATAAGACAGCCTCCAGTTATTAAAACTCAGTTTCATCAGGTATTCTGACAATCTAATTCCAATATATCTATGACAGCCGACTCTGGTATCGATCACTCCATTATAGTTATAAACAGACAAACACTGAGAAATTATTTTGATAGAATACTAACCGATCTAAGTATGC